CCGCCGCAGCCGATCCCGGAGTCGGAGCCGGTCCCGGTCCCGCAGTCGATCTCGCTACAGCCGCTCCAAGTCTCGGTCTCGCACTCGCTCCCGATCGCGGTCCACGTCCAAGTCCAGGTCGGCGCGAAGATCCAAGTCCAAGTCATCGTCCGTGTCCAGATCTCGCTCGCGGTCCCGGTCCAGGTCCCGGTCCAGGAGTCCCCCGCCCGTGTCCAAGAGGGAGTCCAAGTCCAGATCGCGGTCCAAGAGCCCCCCCAAGTCTCCTGAAGAGGAGGGAGCCGTGTCCTCTTAGGCAAACGGTAATGCCCGCGGGGCCCCGGCGCACGGCCCGGCGGGGAGGAGCTGCGGTGGGGTCTGCAGGAAGGATGTGTGTGAGCAGGTGGTAATGGCTGTGTCGGAAACTGTTTGCGACCTATTGATGAAAATGACTATTTCTTGCTGTTTTTATCCAACGTCTGCATTTTCCCCTTTAAAGCTGCGGTCTCCTGTTTGATAAAAGAATATTGGCCAGTATTGCAGATTTTAACTGATTTGGCTGATCCTCCAGGGACCAGTTTCTGTGGGCGTGTGTTGGAGCAGGTTTGTCTTTAAATGTTAAAGATGCACTATCCTCCTAGAGGAGGCACTCGGCTCAACTCTTGTTGTGCCGACTGGGTCGCTGTTCTAGTGGATGTGGCAAACGCACTGCAAAAAGCAGCATGAACTTTGGAACCCAAAAAAGTGTCCAGGTACTGCGCTGGGTGGGGAAAGGATAGTGTGTCTTTAACTCAAATTGTTTGGTCCTGTTTTTTAAGGAAGGGCCCTGAGTAGCTCAGACATGAAAGCCTTATTCTCGATTGCCAAACGTTTTGTTTAAAAACCAAATTTATCCTGAAATATAGGTTACTTTCCTGATTTCAAGTTTTGTTTGGATACAGCCCCCCTTTTTTTTCCCCCCTTTTCCTTTTCTCCCCCCTCCCCCCTTAACGATTTTTCACCTTGGTTATTTGGCCAAGAACGCACAAATTTGTAAATGCTGATGTGAAAATTTCCTAATTTGGGCCTTAAACATTTGTGAGAACGGCCGGGTGGAACCTTTCTGAAACCTCCTTGTTTCACCAGAGCCTTAGACGGCACATGCCAAGTACATGCCCGAAATTGAAACCATGTGCACTTTGGGCGGCTTCACGGTGACGGGAGGGAAACTGAACTTAATTTCTTTTCAAACCTAGATGTGTCGACAAGCAACATAACAGAAACGAGGAGGAAAAGGACCCCATGCTCAGTCCATCAAAAAGTCCTTGGAACAAGCACCTGGCTATTGAAAAGGTTATTTTGTGACATTTTGTCTAACTTTTTACTTGTTTTAAGCTTTGCCTCAGGTGGCAAACTGCATTTTATGTGCCATTTTGTTGCTGTTATTCAAATTTCTTGTAATTTAGTAAGGTGAACGACTTCAGATTTCATTATTGGCTTGGATATTTGAGGTAAATTTTCCTTTTTGTTTATATAGTGCTGACTTTTTTTGTTTGAAATTAAACAGATTGGTAACCTAATTTGTGGCCTCCTGACTTTTAAGGAAACTTAAGGAAACGTGCAGCCATTACACACACACAGCCTAAAGCTGTCAAGAGATTGACTCAGCATTGCCTTCATTCCTTAGAATTAAAAACCTACAAAAGTTGGTGTAAATTTGTGCATGTTATTTACCTTCAGATCTAAATGGTAATCTGAACCTAAACTCGTATAAAGACTTTTCAGGTGAAAAGACTTGATTTTTTTGAAAGGATTGTTTACCAAACACAATTCTAATCTCTTCTCTTGTGTATTTTTGTGCACTAGGCGCAGTTGTGTAGCAGTTGAGTAATGCTGGTTAGCTGTTAAGGTGGCGTGTTGCAGTGCAGAGTGCTTGGCTGTTTCCTGTTTTCTCCCGATTGCTCCTGTGTAAAGATGCCTTGTCGTGCAGAAACAAATGGCTGTCCAGTTTATTAAAATGCCTGACAACTGCACTTCCAGTCACCCGGGCCTTGCATATAGATAACGGAGCATACAGTGAGCACATCTAGCTGATGAATAATACACCCTTTTTTTTTTTCTACTCCACTCCACCAAATGGTAAAAATGATCATCTTCATGTATGAACTTAAAATTTGAAAAATGTTAAGGAAGCAAATGGTCTGTAACTTTGTAAGTACTTAAAACATGGTGTATCTTTTTTGCTCATAAATATTCTGTACTATAACCATTGTTTCTATAGTTTAATTAAAAATGTTTTCTTGGTGTTAGCTTTTCTCAGAATATGTCTTGGTCTTTTTTCCTCCCTTTGTTTCAAAGACCTGTGCAATTTTCTTGTGAATGTTACCGATTATATGGTATGAAAGTGAAATGCCTAGTTGACTTTTTAATGGAAAATGTTCCATTAAAAGTTCACAACTATCCCTAAAAGTGATGCTCTATGGCAGCACACTGAGGTGTGGCTACTCCGTTCTCATGACCTAATTGATGCCCTATTTTAATGACTTAGGAACAACATGAGTCCTTAATAGGTGTTTTAATTTTTGTTTCCATGGCCGTGTATCCCACAAGTACTGTCTGGTAGACACATCACAGTTTTAAGGCCAATAGATCTGACCATCTTTAAACCCATGGCTTGTACTCTCAGGCTGAAGTGGTCTGGATCCTAATGGGCATGCCAAGTTGCTAATCGGTATCAAAATTGTCCCAAAACAGCTTGTAGGTGTAATTCAGAGACTGTCCTTTGCAAAGGAGATAACCAGCATTTCAACAGTATGTCTTCCTGGAAGGGCAGATTCTGCTATATCTTCCTTGTCTGCACCAAAAGACACCAGAGGAATGTGGACACATTTCATATCCCACTTGTAGATCAGAGCTTCAAGTGACCAGTCAGCACTGAAAAATAAACTTTCTAAAATTATTTTCCTGTTTTGCTTCAAATGTTTTTTCATGTTATCCTTTGGCGTTGGTTACTAAGGCTTAATTTAACTTAATAAAAATTGAATAAACCAGGATTAGTTGGGCTTACCTTCTTACCTGGTAAGTAGACCACAACTGCACCTTGGGGTTCTTCTGCATCAGAAAGTGTACTGTAGTTAAAATGTCTTCAAAGTCTAGGAAGGGAGGGCTTATTAATACAGACTTACTACTTGCATTGTATCTCTGGCCAAATTGGCTATTAGGCAAAAAAATGTACCTTCTGGTTCAAAGAACACATCAGCTGCAAGAATAATATCTTGGGGTGGCAAAGCCAGAAGGTCCAGAGATAGGTGACCCCATGTTAGTCCTACAACATGCACCTGTGGCAGGTTATTCATTTGGCAGCTCTGCTGACAGACTTCTAGGCAGTGAGGCAGCTCTGAACTGTCGGACAGTGTTACCTCAGCGCCACATTTTGCAGCTATAATTCCTGGAAGGCTCACTCCAGCTCCAATCTAGTAAGTTTAAAAGATGACATTTCAAAGTTTGTCTAGAACTACAAAGAATTTGGATCTTAGTTCCCATTTCATCCTTGTGAGTAGTGTGTATTTGGGCTTATGTCTATAAAACATGCCATGGTTAAAACGCTGCCTTAACCTGTAGGAACCCTGGGCTTTGAATTTGGCAAGAGCCTGTGTGATTCCTCTTAATTGGGTCAAAGCGCAGTTAAATCTCATACAGGGCCCTGTATTCTGCAATTGACCTAGTGCTTCCAAACTCAATGTGTGTCTTAGGCCATTTCGTTGCTTAACATGCCCAGAGTAGTAGTCTTGGGGAACTTGCTCTGTCATTTTCAGTTTTCATAGTTAATTGTAGGGCATGCTGCCTCTAGAAGCTCCAGGGGGGCTACACGCACAGCCAGTTACTGATTTTGTTTTTATGTGAATAAAGCCTGACAGGTCTAGAACATGGCTTTCTACAAAAGGATTTTTCCATTTGGTTTAAAGTAACAAGGTATTTTAAACAATGAGTAATGCCAAGGAATGCTTTTGCATTCCAATTGATTGAAATAAAAGCTTCCCATTTCCTGTCAGGATGGGCATGTTAGAGCCCAAAGAACCCTGTTGGGACACCCTAGGAAGATGGCCTTGACTGCTTCCCTGCCCAATTAGTCACTGGGCTTCATGCAATAAGGGCCAGACAGTAAGGATTTTAGTCTTGGTGGGCCACATTTTTTTAAATACCATCTTACAAATGTAAAATTCATCCTTAACTGGCATGACTTAAAAGCTGGCCACGTTACCCCGATTTTAAAATACTGGGGCAAAAGTAGGTTGACAGTATGGAAAATAATACAAGAATAAACTTTCCATACAGCTGTAAACCCTGTATTGAACAGAAGCCCAAATATCAAGCATGTAGACTTCAATCTAAACTATGTTTGAGACCTCAAGGGCACATGTACCTCTAAGATAGCCTTGCCTGGTAGAGATCTTCTGTGAAACCACAGGTACTGGGCCAGGACTACCGCACAGGGCCAGACGTACATTCCATACTGAAGATGCAGGACCTGGAAAGAATTTTTGTACAAAATAACTCATCTGCAACTTAATACAGCAATTACTGAGTGCCTGACTCTGGCATCCATTACAAAAATGACATTTCCCTGCTCTCCAATTCACATCCTATGGAGGGGAGGGGGAGTATATATAAAACTGCTATACCATGTGGTAAGCACTCTTCAACAAGCATTTGTTCAGACTCTAGCTTAATAACTATTCTAGGCTAAGAATGTCATTCTCCTGGAGCATATATACCCTACTAGAGAGAGACAGCAAGTAAGCAAAGATATTTTTGGTTCATGAGAATGCTATAAGCACAATACACAAAGGGGGTGATGTGAGAGTAATGGGGGGGGGGGGGGCAATGACCACAAGGTGGCTGCACTAGATAGGGAGAGAGGGTGATTCAGACAAAGGCCCTGAAGCAGGAACTAAAGCCTCTTGCTGGACAACAGAGCGAAGACGGAGGGGCTGGAGGCAGGGTTGTGTAGTGCAAGCAGAGGCCACAGGAAGTGTAGCTTTATTTATTTATTTTTTTTAATGCAAGAAGATAGAAATTTTTAAGCACAGGCTTGGTGTGCTAATGGGAAACAATGTAGGCCTAGAAAGACATCCTTTTTTTAAATATATTTTATTGATTTTTTTACAGAGAGGAAGGGAGAGAGACAGAGAGTTAGAAACATCGATGAGAGAGAAACATCGATCAGCCGCCCCCTGCACACCTCCCACTGGGGATGTGCCCGCAACCCAGGTACATGCCCTTGACCGGAATCGAACCCGGGACCCTTCAGTCCGCAGGCCGACGCTCTATCCACTGAGCCAAACCGGTTTCGGCTAGAAAGACATCCTTGAAGAGGTTTGAGTGGCCATGAGTCTCTGAATAAATGCTTGTTGAATGAATAAATGTCTGAAGAGTGCTTGCCACACGGTATAGCAGTTTTATATCCCCTCGAAGGAGTTGGGAAGGCAGGCAACTTACAAAGCCTTTGAAAAAGCAGAGAATTGTGAGAGCGTAGTATTTAGTGAGGCAAGATAACATAGCTCACAGCTCTGAAATGAGTCTGCCCAAGTTCAAACTCCAGATCTGGACTTGACCAGCTGTGTGACCTCACTCAAGTTATTAAGTCTGTGCTCAGGTTCCACAATTACAAAATACTATCTGCTCAGGTTCCGCAATTACAAAATACTATCTCACTGGGTTAATAGGAAAATTCAATGCCAACTACTTAGTAGTGCCAGGCACCAAGTAAGCACACAAAGTTAGCTACCGTTAAACATACAAAGTTAAACATACAAAGTTAGCTATCATTAAACGTTCTGCAACACGCAGGTCTGTTTTCTAGAGCAAAGGGTGCCTCTAGGGGGGTGGTAGAAAGGGGGCTGAAGTTGTAAAAGTAACAGGTAAAGGAACTAAGGCCTGAACCTAATCCACTCAACAAACATGAGTGCCTAAGATATGCTAGATCCTGTTCTACCTGTAGGGGTGCAGTGTGAATAAAAGAGCTAAACTGCCTGCCCTGGTACATTTTACCCAGGAGAACAATGGGGAATTTCTGACCAGAGTTGTGCAGGTTTGGGTGTAAAGAAAAGGGGCTCTGCCCTAACCGGTTTGGCTCAGTGGATAAGAGCGTCAGCCTGCGGATTCAAGGGTCCCAGGTTCGATTCCGGTCAAGGGCATGTACCTTGGTTGTGGGCACATCCCCAGTATGGGGCGTGCAGGAGGCAGCTGATTGATGTTTCTCTCTCATCGATGTTTCTAACTCTCTATCCCTCTCCCTTCCTCTCTGTAAAAAAATCAATAAAATATATTTTTAAAAAATAAAGAAAACGGGCTCTGCCCTGGTCGGGGTGGCTCAGTGGATAGAGCGTTGGCCTGCAGACTGAAGGGTCCTGGGTTCGATTCCCGGTCAAGGGCACATGCCCAAGGTTTCGAGCTCAATCCCCAGTAGGGAGCGTGCAGGAGGCAGCCGATCAATGATTCTCTCATCATTGATGTTTCTATCTCTCCCTTTCCCTTCCTCTCTGAAATCAATAAAAATCTATTAAAAAAGAAAAGAGCGGAAACCGGTTTGGCTCAGTGGATAGAGCGCCGGCCTGCGGACTGAAACGTCCCAGGTTCGATTTCGGTCAAGGGCATGTACCTGGGTTGCGGGCACATCCCCGGTAGGAGATGTGCAGAAGGCAGCTGATCGATGTTTCTCTCTCATCGATGTTTCTGACTCTCTATCTCTCTCCCTTCCTCTCTGTAAAAAATCAATAAAATATATTTTAAAAAAAAAGAAAAGAAAAGAAAAAGGGCCTCCATTTTCACAGGGAATATCTTCTTAAAATTGGGAAGAAATCCAAGTGGGTATTTCAACGTGAAGGCATTAGCAACTGCCAGAAATGGGTTCCACTTAAGCTGTGTTTCCTCTTGAAAGTGTTACATGTCACCGGCTGCTGTTAAAAACCAAATGAAAGACGGCAACGTGAAAATGCTTTGAAAAACCTGACGTACAATTACTGAGTTCTGGGACATTCGAGAGCTGAAAGGAAATGAGTGTCAACCCCGAAACTTTACTTGATCAGTGAGGGTTGGAGCTCCCGTCCCCAGAGGAAGCTTAATTAAGAAGCCCTTCAACAAGATCAAAGAAAACATTAGGTGGTAAAAATGCCATTTTTTTTCTGGCAGGAAACAGTCGGAGTGGATTAGCTCCCTCCCGGCAGGGTCCCCCGATTCCTTACTGAAAGACGTCACATGCCAAAGGCTTCACCCTTGCGCTCTCTGGTCCATCCTAAGGCAGGAGGCCGGACCCCGCTCCCCCACACCCCTCTCTGCCCCTCCTCCCCGCGGACTGAGAACCGCTCGTAAGCCAGGGCGCAAGGGCTGGAAGGCCT